GAGACTCTTTTATTGGGTTCTCTTGGGGAGAAGTCATTTCCCAGAGAGCAACAGCCCAAACATTCAAATAAAAATAATTGAACTGGAGAAAAAGAAAGACAAAAATTTAAAAAAACCAAACAAACAAAAAACAAAAACAAGCAAATGAACAAAGAAGAATTGTAAGTTATCAAAAGGGTGAAGGTTAAGCCTTCTGAGAATATGTAATGAAATCCGAAGTAAAAGTGAAACATTTTTCCCCAAAGTTTAAACTGCCCTTATGAGATACATATATTTAAACATATTAGAAGGGAGATTTAAACTTTGACAAGATACATATCTAGGTAGACATCTCAGAAGAGCTGAAAATTTAAAGAAGGTAGAGGTAACTTGGGATGGATTCTTTACTAGATTTGATATTTCACTTAAGTACATGTGTATACTTCATAGCTAAAACCAGCTGTGGCTGGCAAACAACTGCCCATCAGCCTAACTGTGTAGTGGAGATGGCTGCAAAACCTTGGGAGAAAGAGAAATTAGCATTTCAAACAAAGATACTAATACAAAATGAAAAAATGCTAGAAAGTAGTACCATTCTTTAAATAAATTAGGCAAAAAGTTTTTTAAAAATTTTACAACTGAAAATACAATAACTAAAAAATAATCTTACAGAAGAATGTAACAGAAGAGTCAATGAACTTGAGAATAGATCAACAGATATTATCTAAATTGAACAACAGAGGGAAAAAAAAGATCTCCTCCCTGCCAAAAATGAACCTCATGGATCTGTGAACAACACCAAAAGGGCTAACATTCATGTCACTGGAGTTTCAGAAGAAGAGGAAAGAGTGCATTATTGTGTGTGTGTGTTTGTGTGTGTGTATGAAAAACAATGGCTAAAAATTTACCAAATTTGGCAAAAAAAACAATAACCTAGAGATTCAAGAAGGTCAGCAAACCCTAAACAGGAAAATACAAATGAACTTGAATCAAAATCCATTACAGTCAAATTGCTGAAAACTAAAGACAAAGAAAATCTTGAAAACAGCCAGAGAATAACAATGCATTGCTTGGGACTTCCCCGGTGGCGCAGTGGTTGAGAATCCGCTTGCCAATGCAGGGTACACGGGTTCGAGCCCTGTTCCAAGAAGATCCCATATGCCGTGGAGCAACTAAACCCATGCGCCGCAACTGCTGAGTCTGCTCTCTAGAACCCACGTGCCACAACTACTGAGCCTGCGCTCTACAGTCCACAAACCACAACTACTGAGCCCACGTGCAACAACTACTGAAGCCCACACTCCTGGAGTCCAAGCTCTGCAACAAGAGAAGCCACCGCAATAAGAAGCCTGCACACCGCAACAAAAAGTAGACCCCGCTCGCCACAGCTAGAGAAAGCCCGCGTGCAGCAATGAAGACCCGACAACAAAGACCCAATGCAGCCAAAAATAAATAAATAAATAAATTTATTACCAAAAAATGCATTGCTTATAGGTAAACAAAGATTCAAATGACTGTGGAGGCAGAAGGAAGGATAACATTTTAAAGTGCCAAAGGAAGAGAGATGTCAGCTCAGAATTATATATCCAGTGAAAATACCCTTCAGAAATAGAGATGAAATACAGACATGCTCAGATAAAAGGAAACTAAGAGAAGTTTTTGCCAAAAAAAAAAATTTACTCTAAAAAGTTGCTAAAGGAAGTTCAGATGTGAGGGAAATAATATCAGAGGGATATTAAACAACATACTTTTAAATAATTCATAGGTCAAAGAGGAAATCTCAAATTAGACAAGATTTTAATTTGAATGAAAATGAAATTTGAATGAAACTGGGAAATATTTTAAACTGAACAAAAATGAAAATATATTACAAAATTGGTAGAATTCAGATAAAGTGGTGTTTAGGGGCGATTTTATAGCATTAAATACCTATATCAGAAAGGAAGAAAGGTTTCATATCAATAATCTAAGACTTAAGAAACTTAAAGAAACTAGAAAAAGAACAAAATAAACCCAAAGCAGTCAGAAGAAATGACAACAGCAGAGATAAAATTGAAAATAAAAAACAATACAGAAAATTAATGAAACTAAAAGGTGGTGGTTCTTTGAAAGGATAAAAAACATTGATAAATCTCTAGCAAGACTGAAAACAAAAAAAAAGAGAGACATGAAAGAGGGGATTATTGCTACATAGTGTAAGTTGGTACACTATTTCCAGCATCTTACAAAGTATAAAAGGCAGTATGGAGATGAAAGAGCATGAGCTTTGGAGTTTCCAGACATGGGTACAAATCCTGGTGCTTTTACTAACCAGCTGTGATAGAAAGCCAACTTCTTCACCTTTTAGGTCTTAATTTTTTTATACGTAAAATGAGGTTTGTAATATTTTAACTCAAAGACCAAAAGATAAGATTTAAATTAGATTAAAGTAGGTTAAGAGGGTCCAGCGGTCCAGTGGTTAAGAACCCGCCTTCCAATGCAGGGGATGCAGGTTCGATCCCTGGTCAGGGAACTAAGATCCCACGTGCCTCAGGGCAACTAAGCCCACGCACCGCAGCTAGAGAGAAGCCCACATGCCGCAACTAAGACCTGATGCAGCCAAAAAATATAAATAAATAAATATTAAAAAAAAAAAAAGTAGGTTAAGAACCTGGCATGGAGATTGTGCCCAACAAATGATACTTTCCTACTCACCCTCTCCTGTCAGGAATGACATTTACCAATAATAAGGATAAACAAGGGGGATACGTTTCTTTGTTTTTATTACCAATTATATAAATTCATTATTAGATAGTTTTTATATTTAAAGGTTTCCAATACCACCTTACTATGCTGAGCAAAAGCTCTATTTTGCATATCAATCTATTTATATCTATTTAGCATTTATCTATCTCTCTACCTCTCTATATATCTATGGTTAAAACTAAATGGGAAATCAAATTTAATGCTACTTTTGATCATTTTGTTTGATAATTAAAATTTTCAAACCTAGTGTCCACTGAGGGAAGCCCTAGTAGTAATCACAGCATTAATGTGTCCAGTAATATGTAATTTTACAAAGTCCACACTAGATGGCAGATTTTAGACAGTATTTTTTGGGTCACTAATTATTAGGGTTTTTCTACAATCCTGGAGTTTAGCCAGTTGATAACTCCTTCTGATTTCCTTTTTGTGAGTGACAGTTCAGTTATATTGGTAGTTGAGATATCTGGGAACCTTTTTGCCAGAATTAGAAGAGGCAAGTAAAAGGAATGAACAAATACCAATCACTAAAACCCAAACAGCTAGATCCACTTTTACAATATTTATTACTTTTGGGGTTTTTCTGGCCACGCTCCACGGCTTGTGGGGTCTTAGTTCCCAGACCAGGGATGGAACCCATGTCCCCTGCAGTGGAAGCGCAGAGTCCTAACCATTGGACCACCAGGGAATTCCCACTATTTATTACTTTTTTAAAGAAAAAAAAGTTACATGCTATAAGTTAGTACTACAATTTGGGGGAGAAGGGTACATGAAAGGTAAATATTAGCTGGAAATCTTTCTGAATCATTTTGATGACTTCAATAAATTTTTTAATGCAAGAGTCTGTTATTTTATCTCTTCATTTTTTCTTTCCTCTCAACTTTTATTTTAATCATATTTTGACGTCTTTAACAAGAACATACTGTGTACAAAGAACTCTGTGTAAATGGGGGCTGAGGGAGTTGGATGTAGGGAAGCGGGGACTGGATCTTGCATTCTAAGCAATCCTCTCCCCTTAAGGACACTGTAGTCTTACAGGGAAAATAAGACAACTACAAAAAAACCACAGTACATGGGCTTCCCTGGTGGCACAGTGGTTAAGAATCTGCCTGCCAATGGAGGGGACACGGGTTCAAGCCCTGGTCCAGGAAGATCCCACATGCCGCGGAGCAACTACTGAGCCTGCGCTCTACAGCCCTTGAGCCACAACTACTGAGCCCGCATGCTGCAACTAATGAAGCCCATGTGTCTAGAGCCCGTGTTCCACAACAAGAGAAGCCACCACAATGAGAAGCCTGCATACCGCAACAAAGAGTAGCCCCCGCTTGCAGCAACTAGAGAAAGCCCACGCGCAGCAACGAAGGCCCAATGCAGCCAAAAATAAAAATAAATTTAAAGTAAATAAATTTTAAAAAAAACAACCACAGTACAGGTAGAAAGTGAGACATGGCCATGAAGTGAAGTTTTACCAGATGTAAAGGAAAGGATTATCTCATTCTGGGATAAGTAGTGAAAAGGGATGAAAATAACATATATTGAGGGCGAATTATATGGCAGGTATTGAGCTAGATGGTTAACATGCATAATTTTTTTTGGCAGCATCCCTGGCATGTGGGATATTAGTTCCCTGACCAGGGATTGAGCCTGTGCCATGCCCCCTGCAGTGGAAGTGCATAGTCTTAACCACTGACCTCCAGGGAAGTCCCGACATGCATGATTTAATTTCATATCACTTTTTACCCTGTTAGACGTTAAAAAAAAAAAAATTCCCACTTTTCAGGAAAGGTAACTGAGTCTTGAGGAGAATAAGTAACCAAGGCAAGTTTCCACTTAGGAAGCAGCAAAATCTAGGGTTGAACCCTGGTCTCTTTGCCTCTAAAAATAGCAGGTGGGAGAGGTAGTATCTGTTACTATTTTTATTTTTGAAAGTGATTTATTGCAGTTTTAAGAAATAGAAACTTTATGTATGTGCATTGTAGGATAGAAGAATTGTAAGAGATTGAAAGGCAGGAAACAGACAGTCAGTAGAGCATCAACACAGACGTAGAGGCTGGAGGGAGAGAAATGGTGGGCACTCAAGCGGACTGGAATGGGCTGCCTGAAGGCTGATCTTAAGTTCTCAGACCTAAAAAATTTTTTAAAAAGAGAGGAAAGAAAGACATTTAAATCTGCACAGGGAGATTTAAAACCTGTGTCAACACATCTGCAGGAGATTATTTCTAGGATTTCTCCATTTGACCTTGGTGTCCTGCTTCTACTGAGCTTCTGTTCTGGGTTTCCCTGCTGCCTCTACATTATGATATGTCCACTCAGAGGTGAATGTACCAGCTCCTCAGAATACTGGTACTAATGTCTATCATTTATTTTCAACACATAGTTTTTGAACCCCTACTATAAGCCTGCCCTAGGTCATAACTGCCAAGATAAATCAAATGGAGGCCCTGCCTCATAATTATGTCTTACTTGGGCCTCCCTCAAATGCCCTGTCAAATTATGAGCTCCTTTGAGGTTCATTTGTAATTTCCTGTAGTACAGCAGAGTGGTTAAGGGAATGACTTGACGTCAGACAGACCTGAGTTCAAGTCTCAGTTCTACTCACTGTGAATTGTGGAAATGTGATCACACAGAGCTTCTGTAAGCCTCGGTTTCCTTCTCTATAAATTGGAGATAATGATAATATAAGTATACATGGGAAACACAGATTGGTTGCTACGTCTACTTTTTTTTGACAAGGAAAAACTATTTAAATTATGCACTCAATTCAATTGGTGTATTTCAAAAAGTGCAATATTTTTCTTCATTATCAATAAAAGGAGTTAGAAGTTAACTTCAAAGAAATAAGGAAATGACAAATTACCTGAAAAGTCACAGTCACATATGCATTCACTGCATCCTAGAGAAGAGGGGCAAGTTAGGTTCACCCACTTTCACGAGTTTCATCAAATACCAGACCTATTCATGGGTGGAAGAGAAAAGGCAAATTTTTTAAAGAAGTATGTTATTAAATGAGGTATTTGCAATTCCTAAGAGTACCAGGTGGGGAGTATGTTTTCTAAACTAGATCTAGGAAGTACAATATGGACTCAATCTGTCCTCCTCCCCTCCGAAGGCTATTCACTTATTAATGAATTAAAAAACAAACAAACAACAACAAAAAAAGAAGATTAAAAAACAACAACAATTTCACACATACCACCAAAACAGAAAAATAAAACACTAAGGGGTCCCAGATTACTCTCCAGACAGGAACCAGTGGTTCTAGGCTCAACAGTTCAAGCCTAGAATTCATCTGTTACAAAGGCATCATGAACATGCCTTACTTCCAAACACAAAAATTTTTGTAACAATAAAACCAAAAACTAGTCCTGATCACTTTTCTAACATACTCAAATTTAACTAGTATTTAAACTGAGTCGGGAGAAGAAAGAAATCCATACTTACGGGCCAAGGGTGGGTGCAGAGCATTTGTCCTTGCCCTCATGCAAGGCTGAGACATTCAGCTGCTAAAGAAATAACTAGTCCTTTGTCGTCAGGCAGTTTATTATTTCCATAGACAGCAATAGCAAGATCCGCAAAGGTGCCAGCTCCCTGTGTCCTCTGCCCCACAAGACAGCACTAAAGCAAAAGGGGTCAGATAACAAGGCAACATGGGTGATAAGGAGCTCTGGTTCTGAGGAACCAGTTTTATTTATTTATTTATTAACATTTATTTATTTATTTGGCCGCGCTGGGTCTTAGTTCCAGCACGCAGGATCTTTGTTGCAGCATGTGGGATCTTTTGAGTTGTGACAAGCGAACTCTTAGTTGTGGCATGTGGCATCTAGTTCCCTGACCAGGGATCAAACCCGGGCCCCCTGCATTGGGAGCATGGAGTCTTAGCCACTGGACCACCAGGGAAGTCCCAGGAACCAGTTTTATACTAAGCAGTTTGAGTATTTCCTGCTAAGCAATTTTATGGCATGCAGCTGTACCCTAAAGCGTGGGGGAGAGAGGAGTTTCAAGGCAGAAGCCCTTATATCTTACCAGAACCTGGGAGGCAGTAAGAAGTTGTCTCATAACAACCTCGAGGAAAGATAAAAAGGAGGGTGAGAAATGGCCTTGTAGCAGCTCCTCCCAAGCCTCCCATTCTCTCGTGTTCTGAGAGGATTATGGGGCATTTTACCAAGCCTTAGGTCTCCTGAGGTGAAGACTTGTCCATGTGGCCTATATGGATATTTGCAAGGACAACTGCACAGAGCAGTTTCCCTACAACTTCACCCCCTAACCTTTCACATCACCAGTCAAGAACTCTCTTTAGAAACATAGGCCACCCCATCAGATATCCTAGTTATACAAATCCTTTTAATTTGTCCTAGGGAACAGAGATACAACAATCGATTAAACTTAGAGCAATTGCTATAGTCTGTGAATAGGGTTGTGAATAGGTAAAAAGAAATCGGATCGGGTTCGAGAAAGTTGATCTTGTTCTACTGTCTGGCGTGGCAGCTGTTAACTCCTGCAGTCAGCAGCTAATGGGAAGTTTCTGAGAGGTCTTAGATTAAGATTCCCTATCGGCCAATGGTCAAGTTGGAGGTGACAGTCTGCCTTAAAAACTAGCCAGGCCGCCCGCCCGCGCGTCCCTCGGTCCCCTTGCAGCAAGCAGTCCCTTCGACCGTCCCACTCAGAGGCGCCGACCGAGCCCGAAGTCTGGGCTCTTGCTCCCTGGCGGAGGGATCCGCGGCGGCTGAGGAGGCGGTGCTGAGCCTAGACGGAAGAGGCCCCTACCGCGGTGGCGGCGGCGGCGGCAGCGCATAAGGGGGCCGCCGCCGGGTGATGCGGTGAGCTCTGCGGCAGGCTCAGGAGCCGAGTGGGCCACGGCCCCAAGTCCGTCCCGCCGGAGCCGCGCTTCGGAACTCCCCATCTTCTCCTGCCGACCCGCGATCACCGAGGCGGCCTCGCGCGCCCTCTCCCCTTCCCCGTCCCTCCCCTGCCCTTCTTCCCGACCCGGGGGGCCGCCTCCACCCGCCTCCCGCGATGGCTCTGAAGAGAATCCACAAGGAATTGAACGACCTGGCGCGGGACCGCCCCCCCCAGCACCGTGTTCAGCAGGTCCCGTTGGAGATGATATGTTCCATTGGCAAGCTACAATAATGAGGCCAAATGGCAGTCCCTATCAGGGTGGAGTATTTTTCTTGACAATTCATTTCCCAACAGATTACCGCTTCAAACCACCTAAGGTTGCATTTACAACAAGACTTTATCATCCAAATATTAACGGTAATGGCTGCATTTGTCTTGATATTCTACGGTCAAAGTGGTCTCCAGCACTGTTTCAGAAGTACTTTTGTCCATCTGCTCCCTGTTGTGTGATCCCAATCCGGATGATCCTTTAGTGCCTGAGATTGCTCGGATCTACAGAACAGATAGAGAAAAGTACAACAGAATAGCTTGGAGGCTTCCCTGGTGGCGCAGTGGTTGAGAGTCCGCCTGCCGATGTAGGGGACACGGGTTCGTGCCCCGTACATGCCGCGGAGCGGCTGGTCCTGTGAGCCATGGCCGCTGGGCCTGCGCGTCCGGAGCCTGTGCTCCGCAACGGGAGAGGCCACAGCAGTGAGGGGCCCGCGTACCGCAAAAAAAAAAAAAAAAAAAGAATAGCTCGGGAAGGGACTCAGAAGTATGCGATGTAATTAAAGAAATTATTGGATAACCTCTACAAATAAAGATAGGGGAACTCTGAAAGAAAGCCCTTTTGATTTCCACTTGACTGCTTTCTATGAGCCCAGGCTTCACCTTCCCCTGTGCACATGTTTACCTGATACAGCAGTGTTGCGTGTTGTACATACTTGGAACAACAAACTAGAAATACTGTACTTCGGTACCAACATTGCCTCCTAGCAGAGAAGTGTGTGTGTGACAAGCCAGTTCTCCAGGCATAACCTAGGTGTGAGACTAAAAGCTTTCCTTATTGACTTAAATTTGGATAACGGCAGAGTGAGGGGTGATGGGTATGGTGTGTGCTTGGATGGGGAAGGAAAGCTCCACTGACCTGTAGGAGATTGTTTTTTAAGTGAAATCCCATTAAACTCAAAACAGTTATGAAAAGCAAGGCGAAGAACATGAAGCTGTTTCTGTATTCATTTTATTCCGAAGGACTTAACGTCTTAGGTGAAAGTTATAACCAATCAGATTAAACTCTACCTACATCCTGTATTTTAAGGTCTAAGTTTAACTGGTCAACATTTAAATGGATTGGAGCTATTAGTAAGTAAAGTGTGATGGGCTTTGTTTCCAACTCTTTTATATCTTCCCACCCTTCAACCTTCGTCCTTCAGCCCCTCTTTCTCTCTTCCATATTCTTTGGTTTGTATGTAGTTTCTCAGTTAATACATAGCTAATAGCTCTTATTTTTCTTATATTTTTAACTGTTTAGGCCTATCTGGATGTAAGGGTGAAAATTCATTCAGTGGAAATACTTGTGTATATTTAAAGACCCAATTGCTCCTCTGGAGCTTGTACGTTCAAGAATGATTAATCTGTGTAATAAACTGATTACTACAGTCATTACATAAACAAACAAACAAACTAGCCAGATGCTCTGCAGATCAGAGCTGAAAGAGATGAATGGCCCCAGTCCCATCCCTCCCCAGCAATTAAGGTTGTCCTGTGCTAGCTACCACACCGAAGTGCTTGGCATCAGTCCCCACAGCAATCATGTCACCCTTTCGCCAGTTGTCCCCATGTCTTATTCACACCATATGCCCAGACTTGTTCCTAGGTGGCTCAGTAGTTTCTTCCTTGTACCACCTAGAACATCTACAGTCCTCTGATATGTGGGCAACACCAGAAGCACTTTAGAGTTGTCATCTCACATCCATGATCATTATCATCATTATCCATAACCGCCCAAAGCTAGCAAGCTTAGCTGGGCAGCAAAAGGACATCGAGTTAGAATCTCCCACCTCCTGGCTCTTCTTTGATACACACAAATTCCAGTGTCCCAGTATCCCAGGAGGTAGACTTGGGAGGAAAAGAGTGAATGAGTTAATTACACAGTCCTCGTGCCAAGACCAGCCAGGTCCAGTGCCCCAGACTATGTGAACCCAAATTCCCTTTGCAACTTGACTGCGTAGTTGGCAGTTTGGGTATGTGTGCCAGGCTTCCTTTTTCTCAGGTGCTGGAATCACTGGAGCTTATTTTTAGGCCCGGTTCTGACTTGTAGATGGATTGCTGCCCTGTGCAATAGTATATTCAGGTGGCTGTGGTCCTTACCTGGGAAGCTCAGGTCAAATCAGCTTGCTTCCATTGATGTTCATCCTCCAAGAGTCCTTTTCCATAGGCATTCACACGGGTCACAAACAGAGTGCATGGGTCTTGTGCAATCTTATGCCCCGTTTGGCCCCTCTGAGCTGAGACTTGATCATCCAACTTTCCTGCTGCCAAGTACCAGACTACACTGCTAGCCATAAGTCAATGAAAATGCCATGAGTCAATGAAAATGCAACAAGGCATATTTCGGGAGGCCTTTTTAGAGCAAACATCACAACTTAAACTATGCTCAGTGAGCAGAGTTCCCTTTTCCATGCATAGTTTTACAGTTTTCTTTAAAGCTGCACAGCTGTACCATTCCAGTACATTCCTGGATAGGGGGCCCCAAGACCACACCCCAGGTTCAATGATTCGCTAGGAGGACTGACAAAATTCAGCACATAGTTGTATGCACAGCTAAGATTTATTACAGTGAAAGGATACAAAACAAAGTCAGCAAATGAAAAAGGCATATGGTGCAAAGCCTAGAGAAAACCAGGCACAAGCTTCCAAGAGTCCTCTCCCAGTAGAGTCACACAGAACAGCTTAATCCCCCCATCAACAAGTTGTGCCAACACGTGTGAAATGTTACCTCCTGGGGAAGCTCATTAGAGACAGTGCCCAAGGCTTTTATTGGGAGCTGGTCATATAGGCACCTTCTGCCTACCACATACCAAAATTCCAGACTCCCAGGAGGAAAGCAGGTACTTAGCATAAATCACACTGGTGGTACAAACAGTTTAAGTACAATGAACCACTCTTATCAGTTCTGTGAATGGTGGGAACCCTCCCCAAAACACATCCTAGACACCAGGCCAACCTGTAAGCAGGACTTTCCACAGATAAGCAGGCTCTTGGCCCTTGGCCAAGGCATCTTTACAGCAAAAGTAGTATCAGTAGGACCTCCTGCAGCAGGGTGAGAGCAGCCTGCAGTACTGATCTCAGTTATGCCCTTTCGGGGTCTTTTACTTAGCCAATTAAAACAAGTACCACTAACTATACAGATCTATCTGAAAAAGCCAGTTGATTTCATCCTTAAGCTTCTGATTAACTTTTTTTTTTTTTTTAACCTAGCCCAAGGCATCAATTCAGGCACAGCCAGAAAGTTGAAGCTGACCTGAAAGCTTTCCAGGGCTGAGGTAGTGTGATAGTTGGGGCACACAGACAAGTACAGTCCCAGAGATTGCAAGCGGTAACCATAGAAACAAAGAGTTCACAAATGTTGGGGCATGCCAAGCAGGACATACATTAGTCAGGCAGTACAGGCTATCAGGGCCCCATGTGGTCTTGTACTGTCAGACCTCCCACTCTGGGTTCTCAGTCCAG